CCCCAAAACCCCAAAACCCCAAAACCCCTAAGATACAATTGGAAAGATATCGTTCTTGAATGATATGAAGATAATTGATAGAAATAAAATACTATTGTTTTTAGTTTGCATCTGTTACGATTTCAGATGTTAAGAGCCATCTTTCTTTCTTCAAGTAGTTCATCTTCAGTAGCCTTGAACTTCTTTTTGGAAAATTCATCGATGTTAAGTCCGTTAACAACTTGCCATTCTCCATTTTTGCAGACGACTGGGAATGAGTAAATAATACCGTTTGCTACTCCGTATTTATTGTTGTCACTGATAACAGCCATACTTACAAATTCACCTGGCTTGGTTCCAACCCACCAGTCGTGAACGTGATCACAAGCAGCTGATGCAGCACTAGCGGCGGATGATTTCTTCATAACTGAGATGATTTCCCCACCTCTCTTTTGAACTCTTGAAATGAAAGCATCATTCAAGTAGTTGTCATCGTTAACTGCTTATCTAATTTTAATTCTCTTTCCATCTGCTCCAATAACCTCACCGTGATTAACATCTGGGTATTGAGTAAGAGAGTGATTTCCCCAAATGACTACATTTTTTATATCTTCAACTCTAGTCTTAAGTTTATCTGAGAGTTGGGAAAGTGCTCTGTTTTAATCTAATCTGGTAAGAGCAGAAAAGTTCTTCTTTGGAATTGATGGAGCGTAGTGAGATGCAATCAAAGCATTGGTGTTTGCTGGATTTCCAACTACGCAAACTTTTACGGTTTTCTTGGCAACTTTGTCAAGAGCCTCTCCTTGAACCTTGAAAATCTTGGCATTTTCGTTCAATAGATCTTTTCTCTCCATTCCTGGACCTCTTGGTTTAGCACCAACAAGTACTGCAACATCAGCATCCTTAAATGCCTCCTCAGCGTTAGTCGAGGGTCTGATTTCAGCCAATAGTGGATAGGCTCCATCTTGAAGCTCTAAACAAAGACCCTTTAATGGACCTTCTGCAGCTGGGAGCTCTAATAGTTGAAGAATGACCTTCTAGTAAGGTCCAAACATTCTACCTTGGGCAATGAAGAAGCAGAGGACTGATCCAATTTAACCTGCTGCACCTGTAACAGCAACTCTAATTGGCTTGTTTTCTTCTTCTTTAGAAGCTTGTGGGAAATGTCTTCCAAGAGACTTGAGCTTCTAGATGGCTTTGATATCGTCCATAGTGTAAAGTGATTGCGTATATACTTTAAAATTATATGGTTGATTTATTCTAGATTAAAATATCAGTGTGCGTCATCATACTTTTAATTTCATCAATAAATGCGTGGCGCCGGGGTTTTGGGGTTTTGGGGTTTTGGGGTTTGATCAGCGAAAAAGTA